GATCTGAGCGTGGCGGGCAGGGCCAGGGCTGCGCTCTGAGTGGGCAGCAGCGACACTGGAAGCAGGGGTTTTGAGGGGGCTACAGCGAATTTTGGGGTGGCGGAGCAGCACCCCCCCTCCCCCGTCAAACCTTGGCTCTGTCCTGCGGTCACCCCTACCCAGCTGGGCAGTGCTTGTCCCAGTCCCTGTCCCAGCCCCACTCCCTCCCTCACCCACATCCCTTCCCTTCCCCCTCAACAGACTTACCAGCTGGACAGTGCTCTCCAAGCTGCCGGGATGTGCTCCTCGTCATCAACGTTCTGCACTGCGGCTGTGCCATGCATGGACCATTTATCCGCCATATTATCAGCCATATCAGACCAATTTCTGATACAGACCATTTTCTTTATATTGGTGCCAATCCACTATCGGATCAATGTATCAATGCACCTCTACTGTACAGAACACTGTTACTTACTTTCCACATCTGAGAGAGATATGAGTCAATGAAGTCCTGTGGCTTTTCAGGCACCCAGCTGTTCTGGTGAGACCTGATCTCATCCTTTATAAGTCTACGTAGATCCTGCAGGTGGGTTAGTGCCAGCAGTGATCTCATGAACACGGGACTTAGATGCTTCATCAATGATGGGAAAGCATCATAAAGCTGTAGGGGAAAACAGACAAAATTAATGTTGGGAATTCTTGGTTTTGTAACCAAGGCTTGCACTGATTCATTTCAAGAAACAGGGTGTTTACAATGGAATCCTTTTCATGGTCCAGTTAAATTCTTTGTGAAAAGAAGGGGAACACTTGATTGTTTTGACTTTTACCTTATTTTTTGAGATGAGAGAGAGCTGTCAAGGGCTGGAAAGTATACTTTCTGCACCTTGTGCCTTCCTCTAGCAGCTTCCAGATTTTCAGTGTCAGGATCCCTTGCAATAAATCTGTGGTCATAGTCTTAAAATGAAGCCTTGACTGAATTCAAAAACAGGTCACATAACTTACTGAGTTCACTAAATGGGCCATTTTTCACTTATGTCTTGAGCTAGCGCTTCATGGTAAGTGTCACGGTAGAAAACTAGGGTGTATTCGTTTGCTGTGTTCTTCTGAATGGACATCACAGCCCAAGTCTAACATGGTGAGTATAGAACTATTACAGAAACCTTTAAAGCAGTGATTCTCAAACTGCAGACTGCATGCAGCCCAATCAGCACACTTCTGTGGCCCATCTAACACACTCAGAGCTCATTTGAAATGTGCTTGGTAGACATTTGACAGCGTAGAAATGAGAGATATTACAGAATATTGATTTGTATTGCATTAATGTCAGATAACAGATACAAAACATTTTTTAAACGGATACACAGGAAGTCAGTTGCGTGGGTGCGGCTCACGTAACACAGTGAGAGCTGCATGTGTGGCCCACTATGGCAAACAGGCTGAGAACCACCAAAGCAAAAGCAAAAGCAGAAGAGTAGCACAGACAAAAAGTAGCACAGTAAGATCCTGAGTGTGGTCTCCAAGGCAGACCTGATGCTGAAGACCCCCAAGGTAAGCATCAGTCGGGGCTATCCAGAGGAAGCTATTTTAGCACAACCAACATTGATGTGGACAGAGAAAGTCATGAGATTGTTTGGAGGACCCATGCTGAAAAAGAACAAAGCAAGAAAAGTTGAGTGCTGTAACTGAACTTAACAGAAGAATCCTCTCAAGCCAGAAAAGCTGAGTGCTGCCCTTATAGCTCTGTATTTACCCAAGACTTCTTATTCATTAATGTGCAGGGAGTACCTATTTCATGCATTCTCAGTAAGGAATATTCTGGAAAATTAATAGTTACATTTTATTAAAATAATCTCTTACTTACTCGAGGCCAGATGGTGCCTTGGAATTCTGCCATGGCCTGGGATCCCTTGAAGAGTTGCTGGAAGCTGTCATCCTCCGAGGAGAAGCAGTGCCCAAAAAGCACAGCAGCAATCACGTTGTTGATGGAAGAAAGGATGGAGACTGAAGGGTCCATTGGTCTCCCTGAGAACAGAGGAAGGAGCATCATTAGTTCTTTCACAGACTATGTCCCATTGTAGGCCATGAAGTTCCTCTGAGCCGTATTCCCATCTGTTCCTGATTCCAATAGGATCTTGTGAATGTCTGATCTTGCCAAACAAGAATGGGGGTGTTTAAATAGAAAATCACAAGTTGGATAGCGGTATAATAAATGATGGGGACAGCCCTTCACAACAACAGCGACATATCTGGGATAATTTGGAAACCTTTGTCTGTTGCTGTTACCAGCCCAGGCCTCCTTGCCAAAAGTTAAGAGTGAGAGTAATTATAGCCTTGTGGTTTTTCAACCCAACTAGGAAGCTTTCTGTGGTGAAAGTGTTATGAAGACAACAGGTCTTACATGCTTTCATCAGATCCCAGGGGGAAGATGCCTGTACACATTACAGAAACCTACCTTCTCATTTGATACAAGGGAAACTTATTGTCAGCTTCAGTAGAAAAGCCAAGGAGAATAAACCCTGTATCCTTTCACTCACAGTTTGTCAGTCATTTTCTGTACCAGATCTATTAAACTGAATGTGAGATTAATACTTCAGCACATTGCCACATATATATTTATGTTTTACCTTGCTCTCTGGCAAAGGTCTGTACCAGGAGTTGAGCTTGTCCCTGAACCCATTCTTCTAGGGTTTTCTTCCCTAATCCTAGGTTCCGTAATGTCATCAGGCTGAACCGTCTCTGCTGTTTCCAGGTGTGGCCATTAGCAAAAATGATGCCTTGAGCCAACAAAATAAAGAAGGACTGAGATATAATTGTATGAATGGCCTGCTAATAGACAGACTAGAAGAAAGTTAAGATGGTTCCAGGATTCTGTTTTGAGTTGATGAACCTCTTGCTAGTACTTAAATGAGAAATAAGAGACATTTATGCTAATTTAGATTCACATACTTGGTCCTTTTCATGGGAAATAAGTCTGATATCCTTTCCTTTCTCCCTCTCCATTCTGTGGTTTTCACCATTGTCCAGCTAATAAAACTACTTTGCTGTTTTATCTGGGATCATGTTCAGTATACGCTAATTCTTATTGTTTTGTATCTGTGGTTCTTTGTCTATTGGAAAAACCTCTTCAGGTAATTTGATGCGGTGCTATACTCAGTAACTTCTGAAGGAGACCAAATGCCACTTGAGTTACTTAGTGTACACGTAGCCAATGCAGTGGTTTTGTGTACTGAATGCACAATTTGGATCCAACATTTCAAAAGCACATGAAACTATATATATAAAACTTACATATCACTAAAGGGAGTAGCTATGAAGAGGGTGATGCTTTTGATAGATATTCCCATTGAACTAGGGCTTTTCCTCTGAACCATCTCCTCACAAACAGAAGATTTATTTACACACAAAGAAGAAGAAGAAAAGTACCTTGAGGGCCGCCTGTCACATCCCTAAAGAAGGGTGTGATGGGTCGGTCTACAAAGTCTTCTGAGTGGCTGATCAAGGCATCCTTCACTGCTTGGAATCCGTTCAGCACAATTACAGGTGTTTGTCCCAGCCACAGAGTGTACATATTTCCATGCCTCCTAGCCATCTGCCAATGCAGTAATGCACACAGTGAAGTACAGACACAACTACAGGTGGGGCATGCCTTTTTTTCTGAAAATGGATTAATTAGCTGTATCCTGAAGCTGAAGGCCCAGTTTTATTTCTAATCACATAATGGCTTGTTTGCAGTTTGAACATTGCCTTAGAAGGACAGGAAGATAAAATCAATGGTTTCATTCTGATGCCACAGAGTAATAGGGATTTACACAATGTCTCAATGAAATCTTTGGGTTTTTCTAATCTTGTCATTAATAACTCATTTTACGTATGCTTCCAAAGGGTGCTAAGACAAACCTTTCAATACCTCAAGCTAGAAAATAAGCATGACTTTTCCCTCTTCACTTGTATTATCTTGGAGAATTGATAGACTCTTAGGCAAGACAGTCAGTAGATAATCTCCTATTTACAATTTTTCTTAAACCCTATAGCAACTTTTGTCAGTGTATCAGTAAGCATCATTATTGATAGCAGTGCAAACTTGGAAAACCTAGTTGTTATGAATGGTTTTGGCCATCGGAGGGTAGTATTAGGTTGCATTTGTATCTTGTATTGCTCTATCCTAGTGTATATTATTAACAGGGATCCTGGTTTTCCCTGATAAAAAAAATTGCAAATTCTCTAATTAAAAACCCCAAAGCTGCGATTAAAGTGAAAGGCCACTGTATATATAGGTATCAGTTGAACACAATGTTTTATTGATATATTTACAGGTTTAAAGTAATTTGGAAGCCTACCAATACCTCAATCACGATAATAAAATAAATTCTAAATACCTATAAATTTTGCTTTTGATTTTGGATTTTTTTAATGGAAAATCAAAGCTCCTCCTGCCCCCTTAGCTCACAGAATGCAGGTCCAGGACTCTGACTCCCAAGCCATAGCCTCGCTAGCCCTGCTGGTGCCCTTCACCCCCCCTTAAAGGGGGAGCTTGGCAACATGTTTTAATTAGCCTTTTCGAAAGTAATCATTGATTTTGGGTGTCTCATTTCAGGTGCTTTGGGTCTGATATTGTTGAGGGGTGCTGAGCTGCTGCAGATCCTGCTGGTTTCAGTTGGAGTTTTGATTCTCATTCCATCTGCAAATTAGGTGCATCCTCCATGATTCAGAGATGGGCAACCAAAAATTGAGACAGCTATAAAAATTAGGCTTGTGCGAAGCGGCTAGTATTCGCTTTGGATTCGGCCAGTTTGGGGAACAGTGATTTGAATTGGGGACAGTGATTTGAATTGGTGATTCAGATCACTGTCCCGAATCGATTCAGCCGAATCTGATTTGGAGATTCGGCTGCTGCCCCCCACTGCCCTACGCTGTGTGAGGGGGTTCTGCACAAGCCCCCCGACACCCCCCCCACTGTCCTAGGTCCCCATCCATGGCTGCCCTACCCATCCCAGCTCCAGCCCTTTAAGAAAAAACCCCGCAAGAACCCCAAACTCACCGGTTCCTGCCTGGCGGGGGGGTGATTCCCTCTGCCCCGTGCCACGTTGGGGGCTCTACCCCGAGGCCGCTGCAGGAGTGGTGAGTCCTGGGGTTTTTCTTGTTTTGTTTTTTTTCTTAAAGGGCCGGAGCTGGGGCAGGTAGGGCAGTTATAGTGGGGGCTGGGGGAGCGGGAAGGAGGGGGGGCTGGATGGCTCATGGCAGAGCCCCCCATGCAGCATGGGGCAGTGGGGAGCAGGGGGTATGGCCCCCCCTGCCTGGCAGCACCTGGTGAGTGGGACTCCCCCCATGGTCCCCTCTCCCCTTCAGCCCCTGCCTCCCCCGCCTCCACTTACCAGCTCAGAGTCCAGCTGCAGCTCCTGACTGCAGCGGGTAGGGACTGCCTGAATCGTCAAAGCTCTCTGAATCTTTTCTGAAGATTCAGAGAGCTTCAAATCGATTCAGACCTTTTTATTGGTCCCCTGATTCGATTCGGATTTGGAGATTCAGCCACTGAATCGGGCTGAATCTCCTCCTAGTCTAATCAGCACCTGAAGCTTTGCACAGCCCTAATAAAAATCAGTGGCTACTTTTAAACTCTGACATTGGCTCCTGAGAAAGGAGCAATAACTTATTGCCTATGAAGAAGAAGAAAAAACTTGGATAAAGCTAGTTCCTAAAATAAACCATTCAGGGCATAAAAACATAAAAATAGTATCTGAATAAAAGATTTCGGGATGGTTTGTTAAGAGATTTGCCCTTTTTTTTTAATGTCTGTAGCACATGGGCAGGATATGATGGTAGCTTGACACGTGGCACATACGTTCCTCTGTTTCTGTGGAACGTTCAGAGATGCATTTGATAAAATCTGAATGTGTGTTTTTGGCATATGTCCTGTATTTGTAAGGTTATTTCTTAAAAGTCTGCCAGCATTTTCCTGATGCATGCTTGCACAGCTTTGCAACATTCATAGGCAGAACTGTGCTGAGTGTCTGTACGTGTGTGTAGTAACAGCAACAACAGATCCATACACAAACTGCCCTCCCTCCCCCCCAGATGGATTTAGATAGCTCCCCTTTACAAAGTAGAATTCTTACATTGTGTCTTTTACCCAGTGCCTTTAAAGATATTAATTTTATATCAGATACAAGGATTTCCTTGTGTGCACAAGCTTACATTCATAGATATTCTCGACACTTAAAAAAGTCCAAGCTTGGAAATTCTGCTTTGATCACTACTGTATAAATATGGTCCCTCTAAATTCATCACATGTGCTCTGTCACAGCCGCTGGAGTCCACAACAAAAGTACTGTTTCTACTTCTCCCTTTATCTGATTACATAAAGAGTCTGGCCCTTCTTACTGCTCTTGGAGATATAGGTGCAGATCATATATACTCCTTCTTTGCTAGTGTCTCTAGTGGGTTATGGAATAGAGAAAATCCCACACAATTTACTGATTCATTTAATGCACTGACTGGGGAAATTTTTAGCTACTTGCACAATTTCACAATGTTTACACACTTAATTCATACAACACAATTTTATTTTAAAATTCTTTGCTACGCATATAACACTGCTTAGCTTTAAGATATACCACAAACATTAAGAACACAATAATTACATATATTAGAAACAATGCTCCAAATGCACTTCCTTAAAATAATTACAATTATAACTAAAAGTTAAATTTGAATCAATACTATTATTTTTCATAATATACTTACAATCCTAGAATTCCAAGAAGCCAAACACCTAAATATGGTTTCATTCCTCAGTAGTACAATTTAATGGGTTGGCCTCAGTAGTACCGTTCAATGGGCTGGCCTCAATACTGATAGGACTAAGTCTCCTTTCTTCAGTCCCTTTCGGGTGCTCCGCGGCTTCAGCGTGAACTAAGAGATTCGTGTTCACGGAGAGGGTGGTTCAGGTGATCAGTCTGATCCGGCCTACACTTGCGATTCTTCCTTCGTTGTTCTGCAAGTGAGGTTACCTCCAAATTGGGACAATAGGTTACAGTTTTTATTGAGTGAGTTGCCACCTTGGGCCCCTCCTACCCAAACCTGTCACTACTCCCAAATTTGGGCTCAGATCTTACTTAACAGATTTCTGCTGGGTTCAGTTTCTTTTGTTGAATTTAGTTATTTTGGGGGATTTCCTTTCTTTCCAATCTTTTCAAAGGCTCCTAGGGTTTGATTTCTCGGAATGTGGGATGTTTGCTTAAGGGTTGTTTTTAGTTTAACCTTGTTAAAGGCCTCTAAAGATAAAATTCAAAAGTTAAGACTTTGAGCAAAGCCTGAACCTTCCGCACATAGGCCAAAACAATGGCCTAGATAAGAAGATGAATCTTGCCTTTTTCTAAACTGGCTAATGGGCAACTATTACAAACATTCAAATATTACATTCAATATGACAGCTAGGTTCTACACAACATCTACCTTAAACCCCTAGAACCAGTAAGACAAGCCAGGGTGGTTCTTCTTCCTTACCTGCCACCACAAGGCATTGTACTTATGCAAGATCTTGCTATGCCGTGCTATAAGCTTCCTCCCCACTCCCATCACTGTCTGAACTTAGATCTTGGCACTATTGAGCACAGATACCACTCTACAGGCATTTAGCAGTCCAACACCACCACTCTAGCCAGCTGTCTGTCTTATATCCCTCTCTAGTACAAGTCATGACAGGACAAGCTAGACACTGGAAAATTCAGCCATGAGGTGGTCAGGAGACAACTATATCCAGCACCACACAAGACACAGACTGTTGCTCCACACAAGGTCAAATCAGATGAATACCAGCACCTACTATGTGCTGGTCAATATGAGATCAGTGACTGGCAAGGCATTTACAGTTTGGTTATAGATAAGGTGCCTGAGTTGCTATGCATCTCAGAAACCTGTCTGACCAGTGCTGCAGACCTAGTGGCAACTTACCCTCCCAGCTTGTCCAAGAGCAAAGTTGCACTTGTATAATCTCAGAGTACATTTAAGCAGAGATTGATCAACTGGTGAAAATTCTGGGTGGACCTTCTTATATCAGTTTACAATTTTTCAAAATTTAATTTATGCCCACTAGGAAAAGGTTTCAGCTAAACCAGAATAAGTTACATTTTAAACTGAAATAAGAGCATCCACACAGGAATTTGCCCTGGTTTCACAAAATCCATTTTAAAACACTGCCTCCTACTGAAAAACAGGAAATCTGTTAAATTTCACTACTTCAGAGGTCTCACCAGCAACCTCCAGTTTTCCACACATGCACCGAGGGGGCCACGTCCTCCACTGTGCATTGACATGAGGAATGCAAGCATCCCAGTCTCCTCCCTCTCTCCTCACAATTTTCTGATCTGATTGCTGTCTATTTTAGACAGTTTTTGTCTTCAAGTCACAAGACGCTAATACCATGGTCCATACTCAAGAATTTTGAGAGCTCACCACATTTCAAAACCCCTGGTACTTCTAGAAAAGACAGCCCAGCAAGTAGCTTAGGAGTGAAAGTGTTAATAAAGGTACTTCATTCACACCCTGTCTATTATAGTCACCACAAGCCATTCACATCAGTGTAGCTTTCAGAGAGCTTTTGAGTATAAAAAAGACTAAAGTATCAGCCTTTGCTCGAGGAATTCCTTGAAGAGGAAGTCCTACCTCCCACCACATTAAAGAAGCCATTGCCTGATAATGGTGACTTCATTAATTAGTCCGATGTCAGACTCTCTTTCATCAGCAAGTTAGTAAAGACAGTCTTCGGTGCCACCTGGGAGTGCCAGTCTGCTGGAACCATCTTAGGCTTCTGACTCTGGCTTAGCATAGAAAAAAGCATTTATTGTTCTAGTGCACAGTTTTCTTCTGGTAAAACTGACAAGTAGAAATGTGCTGGAGTTTTTGGCAATACTAGATAACAGTGATCACTAGATACTTCTGTCCTGTCTCTGAAAAACCCAAAAATCAAATAGAAAACACAGCTCAACTGTTATCTCAAATCAAAACCTGAGGGTTATTATGGGCAACTGATCCTCCAATCCTGGAATTCTTAGTCCTTTCCACCATAAGACTCAAATCTGTAAGAAGCCACGGGGTGGAGCTGGTTAGACAACATTGACTGAAATGCCATCAGTACAGATAGTATCCAGCTCTGCATGTCCCTTGTGGCAGATCTAAACAGCACCATCTCCCAGATGTTTTAGCAGAGATCAACACCTGTATGAAGAGCAACTGGATGAAGCTGTACCCTTACAAGATAAAAGTCATGCAAGGAGGAGAATAGCATTTGAAAGAATTATTCTTCTCCATAATATACTCATCTGTAAGAGGCTTCTGCCTGCTCCTTCTAATATATACTTACAGCCTTGGGATCCTATTCGGCTCCTCAGTAGTTCTTCCGCTCTGGCTATTAGGATATCCAAATAATGCCCACTTCCACTTATGCGTAGAAACTGCATCCTATCGTATTGGATCACTGTGAGCATATGTTCTGACTCCCAAATTTGGCTATTGTAACTCTGATCTAGGAATAATCACCTGTAACTGAGTGGCCATGATGGCCCTTCAGCAACCTTCAGCCCTTGTCACTTTTACTTTCTTTGGGCAATCTGCCCTTCTGCTTGTCTGCCATGCCTCGATATAATTATATTGAATATTGATACAATTGATATAGAATTTTAGCTGATTTTTTTAAATGAAATATTCCTATTTTCCCAAGCGGGAAGCAACTGTGACCACCTGAAACCTGAGATCCCGCTCCTGCCTTTGTTTCAAGGTAATTTGTATCATCACAGATCCTCACAGGAGGTGAGAGGCTCCATACCAGCTATGAACTGACTGCCTAAAGGAATTTTCCATCTATTGACTCCTCTGTGAAGTCCTGTGAAATCCTGTGAAATATGAACTTTCATTTCTACCCAGGAGAACTTTTACAATCTTTTCTCCAATGCCTGATGAAGGGTGTTTGTGCCTGAAAGCTTGCAATTAAAGATTTTTTTTTGCAAAAATCTTGTTGGTCTAATAAAAGATATCATCTCTACTACAAGTCCTGATTGATATAATTATGCTTTTAGAAAAAGGGAGGCTGCCCCAGGGTAGGTCCCTGACTCTGCTTCTCACCCTGGCGGGCTCCAGATCTCTGACCTTGGTTCTCACCCCTGTCAGACTCCAGGTCCCTGACCCTGCTTCTCGCCTCTGGTGGACTCCAGATCCCTGACCCCGCTTCTTGCCCCTTGTGGCCTGTGGATCTCTGACTCCAGTTCTCACCCCTGGCAGACTCCAGGTCCCTGACCCTTGTTCTCACTTCTGTCAGACTCAGGGTCCCTGACTCTGATTCTCGCATCTAGCAGACTCCAGGTCCCTGACCCTGGTTCTCGACCCTGGCAAGCTCAGAGTTCCTGACTTTGTCTGCTCTCATCACTCTGTGACTGTGGCCCTACTCCTTGGCCTTGGCTCCTATCTCTCGGGCCCCGGCCCCATTTCTGGGCCAGTTGAGACCTCCACCACCTCTACAGTCTCAGTTCATAAATCACCAATCTTGCCTATCCCACCTCAGGTGTGAGTCAGGAGCTTTGCTGCAGTTCTTCTGTTCAGAAGCTCTTCTTTCCATGGCTCCAGGTCAGACTGCCCGCACAACTCAGGCCTGGGCTTGTATCATGCAAGCCCAGCCCCTTTTGGGTCAAGTGGCTCCCTTGATTGTCCTTTGCCTCACTTGCAGCCTGCTTTCCTTTAAAGTACCAGGAGCACCAAGCTCCCTGCTACATCACCCATCCTGAAAATGTTCCTAGTAAGACAAAACACAGTAGTTCTTCTACTTAGCAGCATAGGTCTCTATGAACATATTGCCCTGATGCTCTGCTTCATAATGGGCCTCCACTGAATGCAGAATCCAGCGGAAGATTTCTGTTTTGATATTGACATCTTTCAGTGGGATCTGCGTGGACTACCTAAGAGATCAGGCTTAGGTTAACATATGCAAGCTGGATATGGCTTCATCTCCCAGTAAAGAAAATAGGGTGAAGCTCCTGTGTGTAAGAGAGAGAGAACTTTCATGGGAGCTAGACTTACAATAGGGAAATTGCTTCTGCCAAGTCAAGAATGACCATGAATGTCATGGATTCATAACTAAGGACAAGACCCATTGATTAAGAACGGAAGAAATGCCATACTGAGTCAGATTGACAGTCCATCATCTTGTTTCTGGCAGTGGCAGTAGTTGCTTTAGAGTAGGAGTAGCAAACCTACAGAACAGGTGTTACAAGTGGCATAGGTGGTACACTGCAGATTGGGTAGGTAACAAGTAGTACAGCAGCAGATAGGGCAGGACGCAGAAAGCAGAGCAGCAGATTTGGCAGGGAAAGGGGATCACTGGCACTAGAGAAGAATGTGCGGCTAATCTAGCGTGCCTGCCAAAAAGATTGCCCCCCGCTGTAAAGGAAGAGTATTTGTACAGGACATGTCCAGTGTAATGCATCCTCTGTCCTTCCTCCCGTGGCATCCACTACCATCAGTTTAGGGATGTCACAGGATAAATCCCTGCCTGCCTATTTAATAACTATTAATGGATGTGTCCTTAATGGGCCTGTCCTCCAAGGACATTCATCTAACCCCTTTTTGAACCTGGTTATACACTTTTACTGTCCTTCCATGATTCCTCACTTACATTGCAAATAAATACCTTTTAAGCATATAATTAAAAACATAAAACAAAAAACTAGGGCTGTCAGTTAATTGTAGTTAACTTATGCAATTAACGCAAAAACAAATTAATATGTTATTTTTTTTAATTGCATTAATCACACACACCATTTTGACCAGTGGAGTGGACCAGCTTCAGACCAGCTGGAACCCACGTACACATCCCGCTCCTGGCCCACCCCGTGCCTGCTCCAGACTCACCTGCCCACGCTGAGCAGCAGTGGCAGTGGCAGCAGCCACGTAGAAGCTGCTACTTGGCACAGGGGAAAAGTGGTCCCTCCCCCTCACTGCTACCGGGCCCTTCTTGCTGCAGCTGCCCAGAGCTCACACCCAGGATACCCTGCAGCTCTTCTTTGCTGCTGTCACCATCGCTTCTGGGTCACCAAGCAGAGCAGTGTAGAGAGGCCGAAAGGCAGCTGCAGCAAGAAGGGCCCAGCAGTGGTGAGGGGGAGGTGCCGCTTCTCCTTCATGCTGAACAGCAGCTTCTGCCCAGCTGCTGCTGCTGCTCAGCATAGGCACGTGAGCTTGGAGCAGGCATGGGGCAGGCCGGTGTCCGGGCTGTTTGCACAGGTTCCAGCTGGTTTGTTCTGGCCAGGGCATGTCCAGAGTGCATGGCGGGTGGGCCGGTGTCAGGGCTGGGGCTGGGGCTCTGCGCTATTGGTGGGAGCAGGAAGGAACCTCAGAGTGCACGGGTGTGGCAGGTACCCAGATATTTGGGTGATGCTTCTTTTTAAAAATAAAATATTGATCAGTGATAGAAACTTGAACTAAAATAGAAAAACAGACTCCATTCCTGGCTTGCTGAACTTACGGGACAATATTGTGTAATGATTAACATGTATTTTAACAAGTTACATTAGTGTGAGGGCATCCACCTTGAGGTCATTTAACTGCCACTGATTTCAATGGGGAGGGAGTCAGGTTGGTTTGTAATGATTTACTGCCTCTGAAAAGTTCAGTTGAACATGCATTTTAAATTGTGAGCATTTTAGTTAAATGAATGTTTCTAAAATCAGTCAGATTGCCCTCTTGAAACACTGTAGAGACAGCACACTTATATACAGGAACGTCCTACTGCATGCACCGCATGCATCTGCAACATTGGGATGTTAGTGACTTAGCCAGAGTTTCAGCTAAACTTCTCTCTTAAGTTTTAATCTTAAAGGGGCCAGATGTAAAAAGGGCAGAAACTCCCTTTGTTCTAGTTCTCCCTTTGAATCCACATGTAGAAACCAGCAACAGCTGCAGTTGTCTTACTACCTACTAATATTTTCATGGGAACAAATCACCTCCAAAATGGATCGAGGTGAGGCAGGGTCACAGCCTCCTAGCTCTGACCAGCTATGGAAAGGAGCACATACTAGATGTTCCTAGCTAGCCATGCATATAGTTTGTTCACCATGGTGCCAGAGAATCTTGGGAAATATTGCATTTCTCAGAGTCCCAGCATCTTTTGCTGCTGCCATGGTGATGATGTAGCTTTATGCCATAATGATGCAGGGCAGTTATTAACTGCTACATCTTTATTTGGTCAGAAATCTCTTTGAAATCTTTAGGAATCTTGCCTGAGTAAAGTTCTCAGGATCAGGTCTACATGTGTGTGTGTATACAGAATAATGTGTGTGTGTTTGTGCGTGTAGTGTATATATAGCATTAGTGTTCAATAGTGTGTGTATTTATGTATGCATGCACACACACATATATATATATACAGAGAGAGAGTAGAATAGTTACAATTTGTGTGAAGAAATCCCAGATTACATTTATCTACATGTCTCATTTATGCATCACCACTTCAGATAATCCCTTTTATCCAAAGAAACAGAGAAAGCACTTGGAAACACATGAAATGTCAGCACTGCACTGCTCCATGCTCCAGCTGTTTTGCTGTGTCTATATTACATAATGTAGGTCTCTGTTTAGTAACTAAAATCCCATAGGCTTTACTCTTTGCAAGCTTTAAGCAGGCCAGTGTGGATTGTATCTGTGGTCACATCTGCTTGAATAAGGATTGTGGGATTTGGTTTCTACATCTAGGAAGCTATGTCTCTTCCCTCTATTAGTTATCTTTCTCTGTCTTCCCTTTTTGTCTGTAGCCTATACCATATGGAGGAGTCTGTGGAGTCTATGGGGCATTTAGTTTGCATACAGACATCTGGGGAGGTTAGGGGAAAACTGGATTATGTTAAAAATGGCCACCTAATCTAACTTAGTTCACCCAGGTAAGGATCTTACATTAGTTGGGTGGATCTATGAGCAAACTGTACAGAAGTTCAAGACAGATTGATCTAAAATGGCTGACCCAATCTAAGGTAACTGTAAAAGGGGGCAGACAGAAGTGCAGCTCCCTGCTGTAACTGAGAATGCTTTTCAGGAAGTGTTCTGAGTTACAGCTATCCCTTGGACCAAACAGAAGTTCACTGTTGGTTCCAGGAGGGAGGGGAATCTAGCAGCTGGCTGCGAGCCTGCACCTGGTTTCTCCAGCAGTGGCCCCTCCTACCTGGGAGACTGCAAAGGTTTCAGAATGGGAGGGGGGCAGGGGAACAGAAGGAGCTCATTCTAGGGGTTCTCCAGCCGATGCTGGAGGACAGGGTGGGTGAATTGGAGCCCCGCCCCCTACCTCAGGGGGGCTCCAGTACACCCATCCCAACCTCCAGCAGGGGCTGAAAACTCCCAGACTGAACTCCCTCTGCTCCCTTTCCCCCTTCCCATTCTGAGATCAGCGACAGGCAGACAGGCAGACACAATTTACAGAAAATGCTCTGTTTTGAAACATCTTTGTCTGATCCCTCATGCGTTGAGAGTTCAGATTTTCACCTGATTGGCCATTTTTTAAGCTGTCTGAAGCCATGCACCCATGTTTGGTCACAGCTATAAACTGCTTTCTTTGGCCAGATCAGATGAAAATTGTCACTTCTGTCTGCGCCTTGTACCTCCAAGTTAGTTTAACTTAGCTCAGGTCTGGCAAGACAGATCTAACTGAACTTCTGTACAGTTCCCAGTGCAGCCCCGGGCCTGGGAAAGCCCAGCCACTGGCCCCAGCCCCAGGGCTGCGCTTTTCCTACCCCCTCCCTGGCACCAGGCTATTTTTAGCCTCCCAGCCCCTCTGCTCACTCCCAGACAGACACTCCCCCACCCCAGCTCACCAAACTGCCATCCTGGAAGCCGCTCCTATTGCCAGTTTTATCAGCATTTGTTGATACTGGGAGCTGAGGAAGTAAGTTGGGGTGGGGGGAGGGGCAGAATGGATGAGGGGTAATCATTGCGGGGGTTGTTTGTCTGGGGATGTGGGGGAGTCAGGGGGATAAAAATAGCCCCTGGTCATGGGGAGTCAGGGAGAGAGTGCCCCATTCTCCCAAGCCCCACATGGAGTCCACAAGCAACATCCTGCCAAACCGTTCTGGAGTCCAGCAACCCCTCCCCCCCACACCAGCCTTGCTTGCCTCCCTGATCCCCCCTGTAGACTCTGCCTGCCCCCACCCCACCTGGGTCCCCCTACCAGAGCCCACTTGCCCCCTCAATCCCCTCAACCCCCCAGCTAGCCCCTCCCATCCCAACTTACCTTAGATCACATGGCCATTTTTAATGCTATCTATCTAACCTCCCCTAACCTCTCCGAATGTACGCGCCCTTAGTTTTGACTGGGTGGTTCAGTGATTTGTGCAGCTTGCAACTGATGTTGCTTATGATTGTTCTCAGCTTGCCACTGAACCACTCAAAAGCACTAAGCCTTGTCCCATAGTGAGACTTTAGGATTGAGGTTTTGTTCATATTTACATACAGGATATGATAGCTCTGCATTTAAGCATTGAGGGAGACCAGAGAGACTGGCTAGAGGAGGCAAAATGCTGTATTTTCCCTCCAGCTGCAGATATGATACAGCTCCTTCAGAATTAATTATTCATGGCAATAAATATGTAGAGACACAGTACCTTAAGGAGAGTTTCATGGTGAATCTGAAAACCTATTGTCCACAGGTTACCAATTAAAGGGAGCGGTGCTGGTCCAGGAGGAAGTTTGCTTCGGGCCCTTTGAACACACAGAAAATTCCAGACAAAATAAAAAGCAATGAGACCTACAGCTATTTGAATTATGGGGATCATTTTCTATCTACTTCATTCCCTGAGCTCTCTCTGTTACGTGATGCCAGACTGAGAGTTATCCTAAGCAGCTAGTAGCTAAGCACTTGTCCACAGACACACCCACCCCAGGCTCACTCTTCTTTACTGGCACACTTTCAATATTGGGCAAGGTGTTGGAGAAAATCAATAATGTTCAATGCAAACAGATTTCAGCTGGTCAGAATTTCCACCCATGATGGTGCAGGAAGAACAGTACTGGGGAGAAGGATAATGAAATGGAAGTTAAGACTACAGCGGAGCCACTTTCCAGATATAGCGTAGTGAAAGTAAGGGTAGTCCACTAGTTTAGCCTTTGTTCTTGATGTGGAAGATGTGGTTCAGTTCTGTACTCTGACACAGATTCCATGTATGACATTGGACAGATCACTTCTGTAGCTCAGTTACCCCTCTGTATGGTGGGAAAGATGGTCTTTCCAGTAGGGTGTTGTGAAAATAAATATATTAAAGCAGGGCTGTCCAACTAGTGATCACATGCAGCCTGCAAGGAGTTACTGGGTTCCTGCCTGGTCCCTCAGCTCCTGCCTGGCTACTGCCAACCTTATCTCTCTGGCTGCTGCTGCAGCTGGGGTGTCTAAGCTCCCCCTTCCATGAGCTTTCACTTCTGGCTCCTGTCCCAAGGGGTTGAAACGTTTCAGCCCATGGCATCAGGGCGTGAACAATACATGCCCCCGGTGGCTGGCAGGGCATGGGGGTGGTGGGAGTGTGGCAGCAGGAGCACAATGGAGGTAAGTGGGAGCTCCTGCAGATGCCGCCAGTGCTGTCAGCGGCGGGGGGGTGGTGACCACCCACAGACGCTGCAGGAGGCATTGGTGGCAGCCAGTGGGGATCACTGACCACTTGCAGATGCCGCCTGTGGTGTCGACAGTGGGGGAGCAGTGGCAAGTGGAGACCGCCCAAAGGTGCCACTGACAGTGTTGGCGGCGCCGTTTTGTAGGGGGTGCACCACCATGCTCAGGGGGTGCATGTGCCCCCCCCTCAACAGTGTGGCCTGTGTGGCATGCAGCCTCTGGCCACTTAGAAGTTAGACAGCCCTACATTAAATGTTGGAAAGTACTTGATGCTACAGTTATGGACACCAGAGATGTATTCTACATAGAACATATTTTAGGCTGTGATTTACTTTTGGTTCTTTTTGTAGTACAAATACATTAGATTTTAGACATAAGGCTTAAATTTAGACATGATGCTTTATTTTTGCAATATGCTTCTGTATTCAACATGGCTTGCCAATAGCTTCTGCATATAGGTTAAAGGCAGCTTTGCACATAGAGTTTCACAA